GGAGGATCCCAGGGCCAACCGCATCAGCATATGGTCTCAAAAGGAGTCTGAGGATCTTTTGTCGGTACCTTCTTCTGGCAAGCACATGGATGACTGTATGGCCCATCAGAGAAATGCCAACGCACACTATTACTGACCCACTGACAAATTGGTCCTGATGAAGGACATTGCAAGCAGCAGATCAGTCTACACACTGTCTCCAGACAGACTCCAGACACAAGGCTGTCAAATGTGCTCAGTGTGAACCTGCTTTCATCTGTGAAGCAAAGTATACCATGGCTGAATTTAGTCGATTCTGGTGTTCTCTGGTAAATGCCAAGCCTCCTGTATCGTGTTGGGCTGTGAGCACATATTAGGTCGGTTTCTAACCATTTGTGCAGGCACATGCACATTTGCGGCATGCAAGAGGTCATTTTGCGGTACTCTGGCAGTGTTCCTCCTGGTCCTCCTTGCACAAAGGCGAAGGTAGCAGTCCTGCTGGGTTGTTACCCTCCTACGGCTTCCTCCACCTCTCCTGGGGTCTGTTTCATGTAGTAGGTTTAACAGATTCAGATTCAAATCCGCAACTTTAAATTATTCTAGCCAAAAGTTGAGAACTCTTGAGTGTTCGGTTTCACAAATGGCTGCTATCAATTATTTCAATAAATTTAATTAGGTCCACTCAGAGTTAAGTGTGTGCGCAACAAGTATGAAAGGGCCTTATCAGTGGAGGACCGACTCAATGAGTCACCATGACAACAGGCAACAGGAAGGGCTTATTTCACCCCACTGGAACTAGGGATTTTAATGCAGCAATGCAAAAAAAAAATAAAAAATTTGAAAAGGAGAATGTGTTTAAAAGACAGATAAACAGTGCTACAGCTACAAAGAAATGTATGGTGGCTAATGAGAGGATTGTTGTTTGAATTAATGTGTATGTTTATATGAAGTTGACTATGGCAGGCCATTTTTACCTTTATTAAAAGCACTCCTCTCTGTTGTTCCATTTGTAGATAACTAAAATAAGATTCTACCTGATCAAAATAGCACTCCTAAACTGAACTGTAATAATATATTTTCTAAATTACATTTTTGTAGCAGAAACTGATTTTGATGTCTGAAAAACATTTTTTGATCGTTAAAATAATACAAATGCTGACCAGTAATATTAGCAATATAGAGATCTGAAATTAATTTATAGACATCCAGAAAGTTTATTCTAGATTTCTAGAATGCAATTTTGTTTGAAATGGTCATTTAGACAAAGATATCAGGAATACATATTCAATAAAACAGTGAAAATATAACCTGATTATTTTTTGAATGGTAGTAGATCAATGTATCTATTTAGATGAAATCTTCTGGCAGCAGGTGAAAATGAGTCTTAAAACGTTGTTATATTATAGAGAACCTGTGGATCATCTCATGCGTGCCTCCTCATGTTGATTCGGTCTGCTTTTACCCAGTAAATAGTGTGGCTGTTTGCAGCTGCGCTTCGGATGTAATCATCCCAATAAATCGTTATTATTGGCTATTAGTTCCATAGAATGTTTTCAGATTGTGCCCGTAGACTCATTAGGTTGTTATCATCGAGTGAATCCTAATCCTTTCCCCAAAGCAGGCATCCCCAAAGTGGGTCCTCGAGGCCCCCTGTCCTGCAGGTTTTAGAGGTTTCCTTGCTCCAGCACAGCTGATTTTAATTGAAAGCTGATTAACAGGCTTTTTGTCTACTGCAATCATTATAATCAGCTGTGCTAAAGCAGAGAAACCTCTGAAACCATTCCCCCGCAGAATTAATGAATCTATTTATGTCATGTAAATATAACTAAATAATATAAAATGATCAGCATCTCGCTCATATCAAACAAACCAAAAACAAGTAATCTCATATCCTGTCAACTAAGTTGCAGAACTCTCTCCCTTCACTGAAGAAAACCTGCTCCTGACAAGGTTAGCTCTAGGGAGAATGTTACTATGGTGACTGAAATAGAGGTTGAGGAAACTCTTTTTGTTAACCAGAGAAGTCAGAGTTTCCCTGTTTTCACTTTTAGACAACTTCGTTTTCGGTAAACCTGCTTCCTGAAACTGACCCCGGTGTCTACTGGTTGTACATCGGAATTACAGAAACTATGCTGGCGGACGGAGCAAACCTTGCCACATCTCACATTGATGTGCCATCCTGGGCGAGCTGCACTACCTGAGCCACTTGTGTGATTGTATGTAGAGTCCATCTCATGCAACAAGTGTGAAAGCACCACCAAGATTAAAAAGGGAACTATTCCTTTATTGAGTGGGTCTTGCTAATTGCCAATAATTTCCACATGTTGTCTATTCCTTTTGCACAACAGCATGTGAAACTGAGCCCAATATAAAGGAACAGACGCAGGTGGATGAAATGAGTGATAATTAGAAAACCGGGCAGAGTTAGGCAGGTGAGGAAAATGAACAATTGATAAAGTTACAGAGAGAGTAGAAAAGGAGACACAAGAAAAGAATTCCTTATCTGATATTTCTAAATGGTGTTAAATGTTTAGTACTGTATGGTGAAAGCCTATGTTGTAATTTTTTTAGTTAACTATGGTAATATGATGTGTGTTTTACAAAACAGGACATGTGATAGAGGATGAGACGAGAAAAAAGGAAAACTAGTAGAAAGCTTAAACCAAGTGAAAATGTAAGAAAATATATACTGACAGAAAAAAGAACAAATTATGAAAATAGGAAGAGCAATTGAAAAGTAAAGGAAAAAGTCAGAATAGGGTTGGAGAAACAAGATGGAAGATGATTTTCAAGACTGACTGAATGCATGAATGACACTCCCTACAAATGTTACCTCCTTAAATTGATTATATAGAAATGCTAACTAAAGTAAGGAGACAACACAACCCTGCACTTATTGTTTAATTACCAAACATGGAAAGATAAATTAAATAATAGCAATCCCTGTCTCATCAAAATCCTGATGACATCTAATTATTGTTTATCACCAAACTGCAAATATCCCCAGATTTAATCTCACAAATCCTGTCACCTTAATTTTGTAAAAAAATAAATAAATAAGACCTTTGAATACTAAAGAAGCAAATGGACACTGAACAACAATCCATTAATTTGCCTCCTTTCTTTGTGGAAGTTTCTTCTGATTCTATCTGAATCTGGATTAGGTTAACACAAGGAATGTGACAGTTGCAGCACGTGTCCTGAACACATCTGCGTGGGAGGGCTCTTGAATCAATGATTCTGTCTGTACTCAAAACCATATAAATTTGTTTAATTTCTTGAACGGGCTTTTAATCACAATCTTCTCAGAGCTTTTCTTATCCTCATCTTTTCTCTTCCCCTTATCTTTAAAACAGCTTGTAAACAGATTTTATTTTTATTTTTTAGCAATAATCTTATAGGACTTCACTGCTTTGGGAGGATGTCATTGAATATATTCTGAAGTCAGCAGTCTCACCCATTATTGTTTAGGTCAAAATATATCAATTTAGTTAAAAAATAATGAAGAACTAAATATATGTTTTTGATGAGTTGTAAGAGAGAATCATTTGCCTAATAATCTTATTTTGGAGCATGCTGAAAGGAATTCTCTTTTATTCACTTGCACATCTACTTTATCCATTTAACCCAAGTAGCCTACGCAAGAATGGCGTAATGACACAACAATAGGCCCGTAATCAACATTATTATCTGGCTGGGCCCCATACGAAGTAAAGCCCCCCCCCCTCTCGGTATCCATTGTCGCAAACACATTGTATATAAGGGTTATGGTTTTAATCTACGCTCAATTACATTGTTCTTTTAAGATCTTTATTGCAGTTTGAAACATATTATATGAGTGTATTTTTTTACCAACCGTCTAATGAACTATACACAGTTATTAACATAGTAATTAAAAGTACTACTGTCTGCTTTGCTATTGGTGTCGTGTTTAAATGGCTCACCATCATGTTAAAATCTGGCATGTGTTGGGTTATAAATACGGTCCGGTCAGACAGTTTAAAATTAGGTGGCTAAAAAAGGAATTTTTCACACCATTACATCTGCAAAGAGACATCCTAGCCCACAATTGCATAGGGGGCCTACCAGGAGTCAGTGAGGGGGGCCCTAAGGGGTCGGGGACCCCTAAGCAACTGCAGTCTCTGCTTACCAATAGTGTCAAAGTGGGGGTGGAGGTTTTACAGGACCCAAATGCAGACACAAAGCTTGAGCTGGTTACTTTAAAGTTTTAATGACAAAAGTTTAACAGAAGAAATAAATCCACATTAAATCCAAAAATGCTCAAAACCAAGAATACTCACAAGAAGAAGGGAACAAAGTAAAGACGACAAACCAGCAAAGACTGACTGAACAGGAGGAGATTATATGGGAGAGAGAAACAAAGACCAGGGTAATTAGCAGATTGGGAGCAGGTGTGAACAGAGGAGGCAAGAAGGGAGCTAGGGAAAAGAAGACTGACATAAGAGGGCAAACAAGAAATATCCAAGAACTCAAAAACAGTCAAAAATACATAGAACACAAGAATCAAAATAACACCAATGAAAACTCAAAATAAAACTTGAACAAAACACAAGCCATGACAGATATTTACGCCAGTGCTACATAATGAACATCACACCTGTTCCAGAGAAAAAATCATCAGTCAAGTAAGTTTGTAAGGATATTAACTTAATTTCTATTAGTTGGGAAAAATCTAGTACAAAAAAATACATTTTCAAACTCTTATTTTAAAGACATCTTGGAAGTACATATGTATTGTTTATAAGGAAAAAAAAAACTAATTTACAGGTGCTTTTATTTCTGATTAAATTTCGGTTGGAGTTGCAAATGTAGGATTTTTTTCCCCCAGAAAAATTATGAATGAAAAACATATGGAAGCGTAAAACCACAAAGCCATGAATGAACCCGACCAGGCATAAATGAAAAGAAGTAGGACGCTGGTTGCTGTTCCACATCGCAGCCACCAGGCGACAGTGTTTCTTCCCTTTGAGTGGAATCGCTCCCTTTTGGATTGTTTGATCACATGCTGGCCAGGTTTGAAGTGGCTTTATATGTCACACATGCGTACCGACAGAGTGAATGGAAAACGGGCGCAGAAGTGACTCCAAGGAGAGTGAGGCAGAGAGAGCGGAGAGTCATACCAGGGCTGATCCTCGGCAGCTGGATAAAGCCTTCGCAGGGGGGAGAGAGGGAGGAGTGGATGAGGAGATGAACATGAAACCCATGGGAGGCTATAGTATCAACCCGCCGGTGTTGAATCTGTAGGACTCCTCAGAGGAGGCGAGAATTGGGCTCAGTTAGGGGAAAAGTTCTGCCGCTGTGCATTACAATGGTATTAAATGGATCCCACCTGAACAGCTCTGATAGGGACCCCAGTGAGGCTGCGCTCAGTCGCCCGCCGTGGGTCAGCACAACTTTGGGCTGCTTTCTCATCTTCACCATCGTCGTGGATATTTTGGGCAACCTGCTGGTAATCTTCTCCGTGTATCGGAACAAGAAGCTCAGGAATGCAGGTGAGCGGGTCCAATGTTTGCTTAAATCTGTAGAAAAACAAAAACAAAAGTGGATGTAGCCAATACTGAGAGCGCCACGCGCTCAGATGGATGCGCGCGTGATTACTCAGCTGCGACAAAAACAAAACAAACATTTCCAAGAGATAGTCCTGGTGAGCATGCTTCCACTGAGACAATTAGGAAACAAGTTTATTACGCAGGCGCTGTAATTATACAATTGTATAAACCAACTATTTATTTTAACAAGCGATTTCCCTACTTTTGGTGGTTATATATATATTTTTTGTAAAATTATTAGAGCATTTTTGCATTATTTTTTAGGATTATAAGATTACTTTGCTCTGTGCAGATAATAATAATAAAAAAAAATGTAGGCATCAGCTTTTTTTTTTTACTTTTCTGTCTAATATTATTTCAATCCATGAAGTTCCAGACAGGTCTGGAAAAAAGGCATCATAATGATTATTGACAGTCTAAAGCCACGGGGGAAGCCCTGCGCTCACCCCACACCCACACCAGACACTTCGCAGCTTTTTATCTGAGTGGAATACAATAATTGTAGCGTAATTTTCCCTGATCTATTTAAATGCATAATCTAACGGTGAATACCTTGATAACGCGAGCTACGGGTTATATTGTGCGCACGTTTTGATCCAGCCTTGTTTTTCCTGTGTTAATGGGGGTGGTAAAGCCCGCATTATTCTCAGTTAGAAGACTGAGCCTTGCTAAGAAAACCTGAAAGTTTCCTGTCTAGCTCAGATTTTCTCAGGCTGGATGGGAGCAGCACTTAAACAGCTGTTGGCATTTGGGGAGGAGGGATGTTTTTTGGGAGGGATGAACGCACTCGTGTTTCTCTTACTGCAGCAATGTTAGGGTCACTTTATATCTAGATCATGTGTTATAAAAGACATCTGCAACCATTAGAGGTAAGCCTCATATGAGATGTTTATGCAGACTTTTTGTTTTTTCATTCTTTTTGGTACCCTTAGCGAAGAAGTTATTTAAAGCCTTAAGGGAAATTTATTTCTGTGGCATGATTAATAGAAAATGAAAAAATTCAAACCTGTTATTACATTAGATTATATATATATATATAAAAAATTCTATATATTATTCCTTTACTTTAACCATCTGTGGCAAAAAAGTTTGGTAATTTTAAAAACTCATTTAAATTCTACCGCAGGTCATTCATTCCTGCTGCCACCAGACTCTATAATAATGCACTATAACCCCAATAACACCTGTAAAAACAACTGTGCAGCTACATTATAGTTTCTTTTTAGTTATTGACTGTGCAATATTCTTTGCAATATGCTGAATGTCCAATATTTCTACACCTGCATATAAGCCATCCGGATTGTACATATTTTTATTTCTCATTTTTTTATTTCTTATTTTTATTTTGTTTTTCATAGTGCGCGATACACCTTAATACTATTTATCTTGATATACTGTATATTCCTGGATATACTGTATATATATTGCTTATTCTTAATGCATCTTTTTCCTCCTTTTTTGCACCTTCTGTAACTTCTATGACAAAATGTGACGAGTGAATTTCTCTGCTGTGAGATCAATAAAGCTTATCTAATCTGATCTAAATTTAATTCATTTGGGGAATTTTTTTTATTCACTCTGCTTTTTAATCTGATCTGTCTGTCTAATGAGTAGTCCATGACTTCTTGATTGCATTTGGAACAAAATAGGGTGTAACTCCCGGCATCATTTATCCTAGCTACTTCTCCAAATGGGTAATACAGAAACAGGTAAACATGTAGGGCAAATATCTACTGATCATTGTGCAAAATCTCAGTATTCTATCTAGATGTGAAAATAAAAGAGAACATTTCAGAAGAAGTTGAGCCCAATTTAAGCACTGCAGAGAATCTTTGATGCTTTGCAGTCTGTTTCTCCTCTAGTCTTGAGAGCTGGCCTTTTGTCCCAAAAAATGGGTTCTAAAAAGTATTGGGGAGGGGCGGCTTAGTGGTTAGGGCAAAGAGTTTGGAATCTGAGGTTCTGAGCTTGAGCCCCACTCCCACAGACTGCCACTCTGGGTCTCTGAGCAAGACCCTTAACCCCACACTGCTCCCTGGGCACCCCACGATGGCAGCCCACTGCTCCCCAAGGGAATGTGTTAAATGCAGAGGTAAATTTATCCAATGTGAGATTAATAAAGTTCAATTAAATTAGTTAAAGGATGATCTTAAATATTTCATTTTAGCAAGTAAGCCAACAAATTTGACACTGTCTCTGTATTTATAGATTTATTATTGTGAATATACAGATTCTCTATATATATATATTTATTTGCAGAAGGTTGCTTCACTTTGTGATGATCAGCATCTGGTAAAGCTCTAATAAGTATCCTGATTGTTTTCTGTTTCTGTTCACATCTACCCTGCTTTAGAAAGAGCTGTGATCATTAAAGTGGGAGAAAAGGTTGGAATTTATCAAGGCCATGGTACTGCTCTTTATTTTAGGGAGGAAAAGCAACATATGAGAGAAAGTTAATCTTGGAAACTGTATGTTTTCAGTGTATGGGTAACTGCATGTAAGGAGGTCATGATACAACGCCAGTTTGTGCTCCATTCTTCAGAAAAACTAGTGCTTTTTGTGTAGGTAAATGCTCCTGCTTATTAAAACTTATATATATATATTTTTTTAATCCTTATTTTGTAATCCTTAATATTGGTATATATTTGAAGATTATAAATACATAATTTTTTATTGCATTTTGCAAATACAATCAGGAATATCGACAAAGCTTGGGTAAACTTGAGAAAGTTCCACAAGATCATGCCTTTGGAGTACAGTTGCTACTCTCCCCTCAAAGCTCTGAAGATGTGTATGCCTAACTTGAGTCTCTCATGATTTTGAGCTCAAACAGCAGCCAGGAAATTGTAAATGGGTTGGCAGACATATTGATTGGCATAAAACCATCCAGTTCTCTCGTTAAATCACAGTTTGATTTACCAGACACATTAGGAGGCTGATGTTGCAAGTGGTTATTTTGCCACAAATTTGACCTCACAGCTTGAAAATCTCAGGAGTGTATATTAGCAGTTTTATTTAACAGCCAAGATAAATTTCATTTCCCTTTGGCAAATCTCTCCTGTGGCTAAGGAAATATACATATAATTTCTTGGCATTTGCTAAATGTTTTTAGAAGCTGCAGGGCAGTCTGACTAGAAGGGGATAAAATAAACAGCAAGTAATGAAACATACTCGGTAGAGAACCTGGCAGGCTACTTAGACACACATTGCCGGCAGCAGCAGCACTACCATCCTTGCATGCTCAAATCCTCTGTTGGTGCATGAAACGGCCCATGATAAAGTGAAGATGGAGCCAACAACACATGGTGATTACTCTCAGCTGCACAAGTGAGCACAATCATTATTGTAGCTTCAGCTTACTGCCAGTGAATAATGTTAAATGTGCCTCGTCTGCTTTTGATGAGGGTATTTTTAGTTTTTTAAGCTAGACTTGAAATGAATCAAGCCAGGACAACCTTGTCTTAGGAGATATTTTGACTGTCAGTTGGCACGAGAAACACAAGAGTTTGGAGCGTGATCGGAGAAACCTAATCTGACAGCCAAGCATGAGTGCTGACATGCCACCTTGTTAGGCTTTTCTTCCCCATCTCACAAGACTCAAAGCTTCAAATGATAGGTGTCATCATCTGGTATTTCAATGGACAGTGAAACAGGGTGGATCATTTTTTATAGTTTCCCCCTGTCAGATTGTTTGTCACTTATTATTCTATTACAATTGAATTGTATATCTTTTGAATGCATTTACTTAAATGTTAACCCCGCCGTTAAACACAATTAAGCAGGAGGTGGTGACAGTTCAGATGTTTGATGTCTAGCCATTGTAAAAAAGGAACAATTTGAGTTATCAACTGTTTTCCGAAAGTGCCTCAGTGTTTCTTGTATAGAAATCAGAAAATATATAATGTAATTGTAGCCATTTGAGTGTCAAATTTCAGTTGGCTTAAGACGATTTTGTGAAAATGATGTTTAGCTGATTATTTGTTTGTTGTGTGTATTCCCCTTAATAGTGTCACATGTAAAATGAAAATGCTTAGACTATGTAGGTTAAGCAGATGCATCTAGAATAAAACTCCCTGGTTGAGGTAGTCTGTAGGTCTAGGGTCGCAACTTTCAGTGGAAATCCAAAGGCTATCACCACTGGAGGTAATCTTAAGTGCCCTCAGATATCAACAGGCAAATCAAGTAGGGCTTGAATAATTAAGTGTGATTTCAATCTGATAAACTTTTGCATGAATCTCTGCATGATGAGCAAGCATGTAGTGATAGCTAAGAGGGAAAACTCCCTTTTGGGAAGAAACCTCCAGCAGAACCAGGCTCAACATGTCGGTCCTCTGTTGGACTGGTTGAGATGTGATGGGGAATGCAGTAGGAGTCCAGGAGGAATCACACTCTGATAGCGACAAGGTTGAAGAAGCACCATGGAAAAGCCAGATTAGCCAGCTTAGCTACAATGGTAGAGAAGAGTATGGAGGTGGGTTGAATCAGGGTCATCTCGGCCAATCTTTGTGTCTTTAGTGACTGCATATCGCTGTAGGAGACAGACATGAAGCAGTGAGGGTTCTGTTCATGATGGTGGGCCAAGATCTGATCAGATCAGAGAAAAATTAGTAAGAGTATCAACAGAGGAAGATGGTAGAGAGGATGAAGGGAAATAGTATGAGCCATAGAGGAGGCAGAGTGCTCTTCTGGCCAGGACCTAATGCTATGATTTCCTAATTCCAAATAGATATGTTAAAGTTAACAGTCATTCATATTGCTGAATTTAATACATCCTTTGATACCTGTGATATCTAAGCTTCCTGTATATCAAAATGATCCTAAAATCTGTGAATAATTGAGCCCGATCTAATACTTTCCACTGTATACTGACGAAAAAAATCTTCAAAGATTCACCTATTTATATAAACAAAAGACAGATGCTAACAGCGGGAGTGTAACTTAATACC